GAAATAGTAGCATTGATATAATTCTTAAAAGTTTTAATAAATCATCAAATCTAAATCCAAAATTTTTAAATGTGATATGAATCATAATTATATTTAATTTTAAATAATAAACTTTTAAATTAATTAAATTAATTTATTTTTATTTTAGTTAAAATATTATTATAATTATTTTAGTCTATTAAAAATATATTCAGATAAGAATCTTATTCAATTATATAAATATACTCAAAATTCAAATATTTTAGATTATATGATAATAATAAAATATGCAATAAATAGTAATTTAAAAAAATCTATTAAATATAATTAAGAATAAATAGATTATTAAATTATTATAATTAAATAATATAATTAGTGAACTTGAAGAAATACATCAAAAAAATCTTATTTATTGTGATTTTCATTATGGCAATATTGTAAATATTAAGGATTTAATTTTATCTATTAGTGATTTAGAATTATGTAAAGCTGTAAATTATTTTCAAACATCTAAAAAAATAAAATTTATGGTATTTTACTATTTGCAGCTCTTAAAGTTTTAAGAGATCAACCTTATACTTTAGTTAGTAATATATAGTTTTTCTATAATTATATGGAATTAATATTAGAAGTTTTTTCATTTAATAATAAAGCTCATAATTTTCAACTTAGTTTAGATATTTATAAAGATAAACGTCCTAAAATTATTAAAAATGCTTCCAAATATTATATAATTTAATGAATAAGTGTTGAGATATGAATCCATTAAAATGATCTATTGCATTAAGATTATTAATAATTGGTATAAGATGATTAAAATAAATAATTTATTAAAGAATTAGAAGATGATATTATAAATCAGCTAAAGTATTTAATTGCTGATTTGCTGATCAATCAGTGCAACCTTATAAGATAATTTTGAGGTGATCATTATATAATAAGTTATCAATGCGCAGCAATTATCTCGACATTGGTTATATAAAAATAATATGTAACCTAAAAAAAATTTGACAATATGATAAAATACATCCCAAATTTTACTTATTTAATAAAAAAACATGCTTTGGTTTTCTATTCGAAAACTTTACTATAGAGGAAAAAGAGATTTGAAGTATAGAAAATTTAAAAATTTATTAATTTTGGATGTAATTAATAAAAATTTTTTATTTTTTCTGCAGTTTATTCTTTGACAGAGTATTTTTACTAATATTTTTAGGTTTTTTACTAGTTCTAATCTGGCTTTCTTAATCACATAATCTGTTTATTACTTTTATTTCACTGCTTCTTTACGTAAGCTTGCTGAATACCTTGTAATCCACTCTTCAACTATTTGATTTCTAATACTTCGCTTTCTTGAATTTCCCCTTCTTCAACTAATTTTTTAGCTGTATTACCATGTCTTTTGCAAACATTCAATCAGTTTTGTTTATATTTCCCACTAAAAAAACTTTTAGGTAAGTTTTTACTATTGTTAATATATGTTTTCCAGTACTTCGTTAACCATATTTATGACTACTTTTAAGTGCTCATCTGCTTTCTAATGGAAACTTTTATTTATATCTATATAATTATAGTCTTCAATAATTTATTCTTACAGTATTATGGTATTACAGCATATATAATTGAATACCTATAGGATGATTTATACTTTCAAAAGTAATGGTAGATTTATCTGCAATATTTGCAAAAAAAATTAGGTTCTTATATTAAATAAACAAACAGAACATTTACTATCTTACATTTAGTTCAAATAATAGGAAAGTTCTATATTGAATTTGGTTTGGTATAGACAGAAACATCAGGAATTAGCTTATGCAAGGGTTCTTCGATCAACTTTAAAATATCAGCTTGAGAATAACGTGTCCATTTATCTATATATAATAAGATCTGTGCCTGAATATAGCTGGTAAATGATCTTTCAATCAACTATTTAAAATATGATAATTTGGTAATACCAGATATTGTTTTAATAGGCATGTGATTAAGTTTTAGCTTCAAATGAGCAACAGAAGTTCCACTTAGATTCTTTATAGCATCTTCTATTTTTTTCACCACTATTTAAATTATAACTAACTCTTACATATCTCTTGATAGAATGAGCAATCTAAAAGGTAATTATGAAAAAATTCAAATATAACAAGTTTTTACTAAATAATAATTACACTTTTCTATATCAAAGTTCAGATTTTTAATTGGCTTTTCAAGATATCTAAATTTATATAAGCTATTATCTTGTTCAAAGTAAATTCAAAATAGATATTTATGGGAGAAATAAGTTGTTTCTCTTTCAATAAATCTTATCTGCGCATGATGTGAATCAACAGTAGTCTTCACTTCTTTAGGTTCAAGAAAGTACCACTCACGAACATCAATATTATACTATTGATTCCAATTTGCAACAATAGTCATTAATTCCAAATTGTAATAATACCTACTGTTATCAGAAAAAATTTAGATCTATTTTGGTTTTAGTTCTAGCGTTTCAAAAATAGCATCAAAGAATGATGCAGTATACTATGCATCCTGTTTGGTATCAGTAGACTAATGGTCAAATGTGTGCATATTTAGATTCAAACCATCATGCCTTGTAAAAACTAAAATTGTATAAAGAGTCTATCCCCGTTTTCTAAAGAATTGCTTCTTAGTTTTGTAAGTACTTTTAGGTAGGATACTCATTTTATAATCACATACCAAAATTGTACCATCTTCATCAAGATCTAATAATTTTGCTTTGAATTGATTATTCAGGTAAATTTTTCTTGCCTGGTGAACAAAAAAATAGTAAAGCTTATTTTGTGACTCTTCAACTGTTGTTCATAGATTTTCTAGAAGTATATCAATTAAATATTCAACAAGTACAAATAATTGATCACATGTGGTGCAGCAGGTATTATGTTCTTAAGTACACTCTCTAAATACATATAATAACAATGGTTAATTGTATCTGAATGTGATATTGTATCATCTTCATTTACAACAAGTTCATTTTCAAATTTCTGTTTTAGATGATAGCGTAATTTCTTAAGTTCATGTACCAATATATTCTTGAAAATAATAAGTTTAATTAGAGAATTTTCATAGTATTTATTTACAAATTTTATAATAAACCTATTAAATAAAACAATTCATATAAATATTTAAAATTATATACTTGCGATTTCTGATTTACATTTAATTTTACTAAACTAATCAATGTATCAAAAACTTCATAGCAATAATCATTGCAAATATTACATAATCCACCCAAATCTTTTCAATATACATAGCGACCACCTGCTAAGCATGTCATAAAAGAAGTCTTTTTTGTTCTATCAGAATAAATCCCTTCAAATTTTTGCTAAAGAGATTCTTTATTATCCTTTAAATATAGTAATGGCAGGTTAGTTTTTAGATCAACACAATAAGAGCTCATATTGACATTATCTTTGTCAAAAAAAGCTTTCAAATTCTTTATCTTTTATTTCAAAGATGTAATTTCGTTTTACAACTGGCTTAACTTTTGTAGAACATTCTAGACCATTTACACATTTATATTTCTTTGCTGCATTAATTAAATTATTTAAAATCTAAAAATAGCAGATAAATTATTTTTCTTATAATATAATCAATGAATTATATTTAAAATTTATCATCAAATTCCTTTGTATTTCTCTATGTCCAAGATTTTCTGCAATAATAGAGAGAATTCGTTGCTTTCCATCTAATTCACATTTATTTACTCTAATTATCTCTTTAAAACTTTTTCAAAATTTTTCTATTATCACTTTCAATTGATTATTTTCTTTTATAAATTCAGCTTTCTTATTATTAATGCTATTTAGCAGATTCTTGTTAGACAAGTATAGAAGTGCAGTGCTTTCACTATTGGAATCCACAGAATATGTCTAAAATTCAGGTTATTGTAAAGTTTTTATCAGTTTTTTTCAGTAAAATGAAATCATTTAATTCAAAAAAACTTACTTTTGATTCTTGCCTTTTATAGGATATTATATTTGTACAACCCACGTTTTTCATTATCTTCCTCCAAGCATGCAACTTCCCGATCAGTAAATTCATAATCTGGTGGATATAGCAGTTTAAGATGTATCATCAATTCTATAATGTTTAATTCTTGCTCTTTCCTTTCCATAAAAAATCTATGCCAATTAAGTCTAACAATGGAAGTTTGCCGTTTTAGATGCCTTTCAAATGCTTCAAACATTACTTCAATATTTTCCCATTCATTCACATTACATATTGGAGATTCTGCATATTTTTTTAATGCATTAATTGTAGCAGGATGTTCAATTCCAAATAAAATGCTACCATTATAATTTTTCAGAATTCCAGTTTTCTTCCAAACCCCAGTTGGCGAAACATCTCTAAAATATGCGACCCTCTCTTTCTTTTGAAATACTTCTATATAACAATATTTACTTTCAATATTTTGTACAAAAAGACTTTGATTGCCTTGATATTTGTACATAAAACTTGATAGGTACCCAATTATATCGTCACCTGAATAACCCAACTTTATAATTAAAATAGAAAGTTTGTCTACTTTTATTTTGAAAAGACAAAACAAAACATCAGATAATAATTCTTGAGTAATATTTTCATTATCAAACCCTAAAACTGAAGGTCCTGAATATTGTGTTTTATTATTAAAAAGATTGTTGTAGGTTTTATTTACAGCTTCTGAAGCAGATAGATAAATTTTTGAAGCTACATCTGATTCACAGACATAACCTGGCTTCATATCATCTTCCACACTAACAATACGAACGATAAATTTGGTTTTGTTAAGTTCTAATTGGACTCTCATATTTAGTCTTAAAGGTATACATATTTGTTTCTCTTCATTAAGCGTTTTTTTATCAATAAAAGTCCACCAATTTACTGCATATATGCCATAATGAAGTGTTGGAACGAGATTACCAGTGGCAAGAAGTTGTATTGTTTGTTTTTTGGAAGACATGAGAAGTTAATTAGCGAAGATTTAGAAAATCTTCATTTTTATTATAATTTATTAACCCCGCGATTTACTATTAAATTTTGATCACATGCACCGATCGTTACACGAATCACGAATTAAGCTTTTCTTGTCAAAAGCATGTTTGTCTCATGACTATTTTGTAAGTGTTTTCAATCTCTTTGATAATTGACATCAGTGAATTTTTTAAAATAAAGTATGGGGATGATAAAAAGCAAAAACAAATAATATACCGTTATATCGTATTTATATTAAATATGAGAGTGATTTGAAAGAATATGAAATTTTCGTTGAAAATTAAAACAAATAAACCGAAAGAAATTGTGGTTGGATCCCACAACCGGGTCACCTGCAATTTGAGTGCCCGGGCCCCTGAATATGGATTTTACCCATTACATCCAGATGAATTTAATCAGAACAGAATATATTATTTATTATCTCTACAAATAACAAATGAATCATTATTTAGGTGCTAAAATCAGTTTGGAACGGATGTAATAGGATTGATAAATTCTTAACATCAATATCATCATTATCCACTATTATGAAATAATAAAAATTTATGTTATATCTTGTAGTTACAGTTCGTGACATAATTATCCGGAATTTTTATTATTAGTACAAAAAAGGCACCATCACATCAACTAATATAAAAATTAAAATAGCAATTCTTTAGCCGAAATATCGTGAAATTCTTCAATTCCAACTACTTCCTAATGTTTATCATACTGGTGATTTCAACAAATAATGTTCCGGTGATTATTGACTTACTTAAACCCAATCAAGAATTTGTGGGCAACTCTTAAAGGAAAAGTAGAGGAAAAGGTTAATGATTGGATTAGGGAAAAAAAAAATAGTACAGATTAGAGGTTGGAACCGGTCGAAAATTCTTTAACCGGTTAATTAACCGGTTAAAAATTAACCGGTTCCAACCTCTAGTACGGATGCTTTTCAAGGCATAATTCGGAGGGAATGGGAAAGTCTCGATTAAAATATTTTCTTTAATTTTAGCTGATTGTATGTCGGATCGGATTAATAACGGGTATACAATAAATAATTAAATTTTTATAATATATTTATTGTATGAAATAGAATTTGTGATACTTTTATATGTCGTGATATATTCCGGATATTTATGTCGCGAGCTGTACTTTTAATATTTTTATTTGCACAATAAATTAATTTCTCAAATTGGCATTCGGTTAGATTTTTATATTCAACATAAGAAAAATAAATTTCAAATTTCGAACGTTGAGAAAATTTTATTTAATAAGTACATAGACTTCAATGCGATTTACGAAATTAACTACAACTACCCGGGCTCTACGGAGAAATCTGTTCCACCTGTGGTCATCCGGTGTACACCGACCGGGTCTAATCCCTATTCTCAAATCTGTTTGAGTTCCCAGATGACGCTTTGATCATTACACCCATAGAAAATTCTTCAATGAACTCCAAAGTTGGATCATTCTTGGAAATTCGCTATTACCATTCAGGTAATTCTTTCGGAAAATCATGAAAGTATATCACAAATATTTACATATTGCAGTTAGCTATAATTTGTAATCTTTGTTTCTATGAATACATTTAGCGAATTTTTTTATTGTGATCTTCAAAAATCAGTTAAAATGCTTAAACAAAATTTGGTCAGTCCTCTCTTTTTATAAAAAGGATGATCTGGGTATAAATGCGCAACTTACGTGGCTTAGTGTTGCATGGGAATATGTGTTGGAATGTTCTTGTTTTAAATAAAATTGAATGCGTTGTATAGTCATTCGAATATTAACATGAAAGTCATATTTCCTGGTCAATACAAAAAAAAGAGCTTGCTTTATTATATGAGATAATACATAAAGTAACTGTTATTAATAAAGAACTTGAAAATGAATTCCACTAATGCGAATTTCGAGGAATTTCTTTATCACTTGGCTTTGAGTTTCATTTTGTGCTTTTCCTCATAGACATCTTGGCAAGAATGAAGAATAAAAGATTATAGGGTTAATCAATGAACGCATTAGTTACGTGACAATGAGCGACTAAACTCACAACTTCCGTCCTTTTGCTTAGTAGTTTTAGTAAGACCAACGATGTATTGCTGTTCTTCATTGGGTTTTTTTGGTAAAACTTCTATAACGAAGCCTTCTTTCTTAACACCGCTCATTTCATATTCAACCTCATCTGAAAGAATGGCGAAAAAAATTGTCTAGTGCATAAAAAAAAAAAAAAAAAAAAAATGCGGCAGAATTGTACCTCCTTCTTTGAATTTTGCCATTTTAGATATTAAATATGTCAGTGTTATTCTGTGTATTGAAAATTTTGTTGCAAAAGATTCGTTTTAAAGCAAACGGAATTAAAAGGCACCCTACTTAAATATTTTTAGTTCCCAAATACGAACGCTTGATAATTGTTGTTTTAATTTAATTTTGGTAATGATCAGCAAAAGGTTGATATTTATCGTGAAAACTGATATGAACTAAATTATTAAATAATCAAGAAAAAAAAGTATATTTTTAATGTGCAATATTTCACATAATCCAGCCATTACACGTGTGAATCTTATAATTTTCTTCACATGAGAACCAACCTTTGCATTTCTTCCATGATACACATGATACATACACACAGTGAATAACATTCGAAAATGTGTCACATAACATTGTATTTAGCCATATGGGTAGTGTACAAGAAAGTTCATTGATGCAGTTTAGTTCGCATGATTATGAGAACGCCTCGAGCTGAAATATTCATGCATTTTTTTCATGGGAAAAAAAAATACATTAACAATTAAAGTTATATTTTTTTACGAGTTAGTCTATTCTTGATCGTTTTGTCGCTTAAAATAATTGTTGAAAATCTAATTCTGTAATGGATTTCAAATCTCATCTTTTATTTGTATTTTACACAATATTTTATATATTCAATAATGATCCCTTTATTTGAAAACTGTCATATATTAAATGTCAAGATGAAAAAAATTAAAATTTTTAATTTTATTGCAAGAAAAGATTCATAATATTGTTTTTGGAACAAAATATCATTTGTATATCAAATTTAAATAACTTATTGTGCATTATACATGTGAATTTTATAATCTTCTTCATATGAGAGAAAAAAGATGTTCAATAATTAAAAAATTCATAAGTTCGTCCCAAAAAAACATTAATTTAATTCTGGTGATGATCAACAAATAGTTTTTCCGTATGTCAAATCTCATCTTTTTTTATCAAGTTGATATTGACAAATTCCCCACATGTGAATCTTATAATCTTTTTCACATGAGAACAAAGATGTCTTTGTAATTTCGCCCAAAAATAAAAATAACTTTTCGCCATTATTATTCGGGGAGAATCGTGAAATAAAGTAATAAGGAACGTGCAACCTTTGCATTTCTTCCATGATAACATTCGAAATTGTGCACCATAAACATTGTATTTATTCATATTGAATTGCACAAGAAAGTTCATTGTTATAAATGCATTAGTTCGCATGATTATGAAACGCCTCTATTGATTATTCATCCAATTATTACATTTTTTTCATGGGAAAAAAATAATTTCACAATTAAGGTTATATTTTTTACAAGTTAATCCAATACTATAAATGAATTTCAAATCTCATATTTCATTGGTATTTTGCACAATATTTTTATTTATTCAATAATTAGATCGATTTATTTTAAACTGTTATGTTCATAATTTATTAAATGTTTAGACAAAATTAATATTTTTGAAAGAAAGGTTCATCATATTTTTTTAGGGATAAAATATCATTTGTATATCAAATTTAATAACCTTTTGTACATTACATGTGTGAATCTTATAATCTTCTCATGAGAAAAAAAAGAAGTCCAATAATTAAAAATTCGTAAGTTCGCCCAAAAAGCATTAATTTTTCCGGAAGTGTCGGCCGATTCGAATTGGGGTCTTGACCCGTGAGCCGAATATAACTCGACCCGTTAGAATATAAATTACATAGATTATATATGTAAAATTAACCCAAATATATAGGGTCGAATCGAATTACACAATGGCCGGTCGGGTCCCGACCCTTTTCGGGACTAGTTCCGACAAATACACGTGACTTATTATTTACATTGGAAAAAATGGATGTTCAATAATTAAGATAATAAGTATTGGTGTTTATTCTGAGTATTGAAAATTTTGTTACAAATTATTCGTTGTGTAAAGCAGACGAAATTAAAAATAGTTTTCCAGATTCAAATCATCTTTTTTTTGTGTTTAATGATATGATTTTAAATCTAGATGAAAAAAATTAAAAATGTCTTTTGACAAAATCTCGGCCATTACACATTGAATCTTATAATCTTCTTCACATGAAAAAAAGATTACTTGTAATTTCACCCAAATGTAGAAATAATTTTCACCACCATTACTATTCGGAATAAATCGTGAAATAGAATTTCTTCCATATTGAATAATGCACTAGAAAAGTTCATTGTTATAATGCAGACGAACTTAATTAGTTCGCATGATTTTGAGAACGCCTCGAGTTGAATATTCATCTAATCATTACATTTTCCCATGGGAAAAAAAACGCGTTAGTCCTATACTTGATTGTTTTGGTCGCTCAAAATAATTGTGATGAATTTTAAATCTTGTTGATCTGATATGTTCATAATTTATTAAATGTTTAAGATGAAAAAAAATTAATATTGTAAATTTTAATGTATAGTAAAGATTCATTTGGGACAAATTTTCGTGTATTTCAAATTTAAATAACTTATTGTGTATTACACTGTATTTTCACATGAGAAAAAGATGTTTAGTAATTACAAATTCATGATCCTAAGTTTCTTCGTAATGCTCGAAAAGTGCACCACTTTGTATTTAGTCATTTTAAAAATTTTTGAAAAGTTATAAGAAAGTTCATTGTCATAATGGACATTCATCTTAACCATTACATGTTTCCATGGGAAATCTATTCCGTTTTCTTTGGAAGTACGCCAAAAAAAACATAATTAATTCTGGTAATGATCAACAAGTAGTTTTTCCGGATCATGTCAAATCTCATCTTTTTTGATTATTTGCAAGAAAATGACGCATATTTTTTTTTTATATTTATTCAAATAATTAGATCCCTTTGTTGTAAGCTAATATGATCTTTAAATTTCTATTAAATTATAAAATTTTTATTAATTAATCATGCTTTTTTGGACAAAATATCATGTCTATATCAAATTTCAATGTTCTCCCAAAAAAAATAGTAATAATTTTTATTCAGGTAATTCTTTCGGAAGAAATCGGAAAATAAATAAGTGATACATGCAGAATTTCTGCAACCTTTGAATGCTTTCCAAGACATACACAGAATTTCTTAATAACACAAAATGTTGTTTTTAGTTAAATTAGTTAAATAAGTTAAATTAAAATATCTTTTATAGACGAAAAAGGCTCATTATTATGAGAACGCCTCGAGTTATAATATTCATCTGAGCATTACATGTTCCTATGTGAAAAAAAAATATTCACTGTACTAATCCTCAAAGTCTTGGATTTCTTTGTTATGACGAAGAAACTTCAGTACTATGGTCTTCAAAATGATCTAAATAAACATCAGAATTTATTCTTTTCTTGGTAAAGCTGACAACCTAAAAATAAAAGAAGCCAAAAAAAAATCTATATTTGGTAATTTAAGATTTATATTACAGTTACCAACAAAAAAAGCCTAATATGCATGTGTTTACTGTTCATTCTTGATTGAATGTAAATATAATAAAAAAAAAAAATAATAATACGGCACGAAATGAATTGTTCCTCGATTCTTATTCGTAAAGTTATCTATTATTATGTGGTTCTACGAAAAAATCGTAATAATCTATAAAATCGCCGAAAATAACATTTTTTAAAATGAGTTTTACCCCAAGAAATTATTATAAGAAATCATTTTTAAATAAAACCAACCTGGTATCTATAAATTTTAGGCCAGACCGATTCAAAGTTAGGTCTTATGACCGAACCCCGGACTGATCATAAGAGAATGAAATACCGGTCTATTTGGACCAAACGATATAACCCTAGGCGCAGCCAACAAACACTGGTTATTATTATCATTCACTTCTCCAAGATTTATTAAAAGGATCATAAATTTGCTCTTTATTTTTTTTCTTCCGAAGCGAAAAAAGACATTTTCCTGAAGCGATCCTCGTATTGCTTATCAACAAATTTTTGCGTAAATTTTTTTTAAAAAATAAATTCGAAATTCCTCGTGAAACTGAAAATATAAATTTAATGTTTATATTTGATCTATACAGTAAATAAAATTAACTATTTAACATAATTTAGTAAAGCTTTAAACTACTTTTCTTACCAAATATTTAAATATCGACTAATTTTCAAGTTGCTAAAAGCCATTTTATAGATGAGGACGAAACTTCTGAATAACAGTCGAAACTTAGACGAACTATATTAAAATAATAAGGAAAAAGACGAAACCCTTTCGATACGACGAAAGCCGAACTGTACTGTCGAATAGAGACTGGACTCGTATTCGTGTCAACTTTTGATTCGAGCCAAAATTTTATAGACTCGAATCTTGATTCAAGTAAGAATTCGAGTACCAATCACAATATGCCAATTTTTTTTTTTTTACAATTTCGTAAATGCAGTTAACTTTAACATTTTATATTTCAGACTTTTAGTTTTAGCTGATTATAATTTAGTTTCGCGGCATTTATTAATTAGATTTTGTAGCATTAAATTCTAATATTTTTTTTTTTCTTTTTTTTATGGGTTATTTTCTTTCTTTTATTTTTTATCGTTTTATTACTTTTATTTTATTTTTTAGGATTTTTGATCACATACGGGCTGCTGCTTTCTTTTTCTTTCTTTTTTTTTTCGATTTTTTTTTTACATTCTATTTTCATTTTTTATTTTTTTAATTTATTTTTTTAATTTTTTTAACTTTTTTTAATTTCGATTTTATTTTTATTCAGTTTTCGGCTAATAAATAAGTTCATTTTTTTATTTTTTTATTTTTGGTTTTATTTTCATGCAGGTTACCGGATGCTGCGTCAATTTTGTTTTCATCTATTTTTCAGGTTTATTTTTTTTTAAAACTTCAGACCGAAGTGATCCAACCTGAAAAGCAAAAAATAATCATTCAATTAGAAGAAAAAATTAAAAATAAAATCAGCAAAAAGCGAATAGAAAAGAAACTCCTACCTTTATGATTACAT